ATGTATGTATGTATTTATGTATGTATGTAATTACGAATATTCATACAGGTTAGCCCAGTTTAGCAAATTGCTAGTTTAAATGGGGCCCTGTGAAACAGTAATACCCACCCATCCCACCCCAGGGCAGGACATGCATCACACAGTAATCTCGTGCGTGGGAAATTAACGTCTCCTACCCCTAACCCTGCAGGAGACGGGGCCTACAGTTTATTCGTCCTTATCCGAGAAGACTATGATATCTATCCATTTCTTGATATTATAGAAAGGTAGCAAATTCTCCTCAGTTATTTTAATACCACGAGTACTGGACCGGCCGGTGCTCGAACCCTCGACCTCCCGCACAACACAATCCCCCGCTCTAACCAATTGAGGTAATAGGGGGGCGGTGACTCTTGAAAACAGTACTTCTTGAAAACAGTCCCTTTTTTAAATTGTATGTTAGTTTCGAAACAACCAGGTCCAAAGAATCAAGCATTTTGTTGAATAGGCCCAGTGCTATAGACCACAACATCAAGTAGTAGTTTCGACTTTTCTCAGAATCCACCCATAGTAACAAGTTGTTATCATTCTTTCCAGGTTTATTGGTGTACTTTTTATATGGGTACAGTCACAGTGTGGAAGCCATTAGACCGAGTGAGAAAACAGAATATCAGTTTATTCTGTCCCAGACTCCGGACTTTGGTCAAGAAGTTGAAGAATATGCAACGCAACGCCATCCATAATTATGACAATTTTAATCTAATTTTGAGGTTGGAAAGTATTTATATGAATCGCTTTGAAATCGGCTTTGAAATCGGCCCAGCCATCTCAAAACTGGAGATTTAGGCGTGTAATAATGTACATGCATCAATCGAGAGTCTGGACTAAAACGTCACCATTCCCCCCTCTACTGTGTAAAATGTAATTATGTCTCTCTTTTATTAGTCTGTTTTAGGCAAAAACTCAGCTATCGCGTTTCCTTCCTCGACTACACGCGTGGTTAATTAAAGAGGTTCTCCCTCAATCACCTTGAGCGTCTGCGTGCGTTTAGATAGTTCTTGATCTTGGGATGAAGGGCAGTGGTGCGTGACACGCGTGCATTGTGTCGCATCTCACGTTGTGCGCGGGTGACAAAAAGATCTCAAAATCGAAAATAGTACCTTCCAACTCAAATAAAATTGCGGACAATATCTGTGAATATTTGGGATCTCTTCAAGCAAGGCTCATTAGATGCATATTAAAAGGGTTGCTCTGGGTACGTCAGATCTCCAACTGTTAAGCTGTTTGTGTCCGTATTCTGAACAAAAAAAAGTTTCTTAGAGGGCTATTTTTGCCTCTCGCCACTTAGAAGAACACACTGGTAATGGCAAAATGTCCGCGGAAAGTACCGAGATGTTTGTGTCTGCTGGGCCGAGATAGAAGTAGGGTCTCAATAGAGTAATAGCTTTTACGGCTAATGGTTAAAAAGTTTGGCCATTTTACGACTAACGGTTAATATCTTTTCCATCGTTTTCACCCGAATTTTTATCTTACGGTTAACTTTTTTTTACGACGAACAGTTTAAATTTGCCAATCAGGCCGTTTTGCGGCTCACGGTTTAACCCACTGAAATCCTATCGCATTCAGGACCAGAGGAGGGAATGGAGAGTTACTTTTGCAAAGCCCCTGATGGCGCTGATTGTGGTATATTCCTTGATGAAGGTTCCCGCATGATCTCTTGATTGCTTATAATGTTCACATGAATTGATCTCGCGTTTCATTTTCCTTCCCCCGGAGACCACAATCAGCGTAATTGAGACATCGGACTCAAATCATCAATAAGAAGCCATGATATTCTTCTCAACCTCGCTCATCCAATTATTTGGCAAAAGATGTTTACCTGTGTAAAATTACATGGCTCGTCTTAAAAACATTTTACGTCAGCCTACGCGTCGGTCTTCACCGTACAGTACTTTAGAGAAGATCACGCGTTCCACATCACATCTAGGGTAGTCATAGTAACTCACTCCCTTAAAAATAGACTGATGGACATCGCGACTTTGCGTGCCTCGCACTTCATATCAAATGTAAACCCAAAGTGGAAAATTGCAAGTAATATTGGATGTTAAATGAAATTAGGCGAATTGACAGCTTTCTCTAAAGACTCCTACGTACCCAGAACACCGAAGAGGAAATAGCTGTAGCGATAAACAATTAACCACTTAGAAGATAACACCNCATTAGATGAATCGAACGAAGAAAAACAGCTTGACGACCAGAAAATTTCTTCATTTAATGAAGAAAATAGAAACAGCAACACAACAACGCGCCAATTCCGTTCCGCTTCGCATACTTCTGTCACGCACTCCCCGTAAATAAATATCCGCGAAATTCGCCCGCACTGAAATAACAGTTTGGCGTGTTGGATAATAAATAACTTATTAGACGTTTTGTTGTGTAGTATCGCTGAGTATTTTTACTCGTTATTTGTATTTTGACTCGCCCTATGGGCTCGTCAAAATACGGCACAACTCGTAAAAATACTCAGCGATACTACACAACGAAACGTCTAATAAGATATATATACTTACGAAGGCTCTCACTCGGATAAAACCTATGGGAGAGCATACCTCATGGGAGAATGGAAATGAAGCTTAGTTTTCCGGACTGTGTCGTCTGCTAAAATACAAATTAAATGGCTTGCAGACATACATATGGCATCATTTTTAACAAAGCCTGAAGCCATTAAAATATACTGGGTCTGGATTTACTTTCGGGCTCCAGAAACTCTTTAATACTGGCGATATAAAACAGCATAATAAATTTTTAAAAAGTGCATCATTTCTAAAATATGAGAAGTAACTGTTGCTTCCTCGGTATTATACAAAGTTGAATGGTTTTAATGGAGATTACCAAAGCAAAACAAGTCACCAGTATGGTCGGTAATTGGGAACTTCGGTTAATTTGCATTTAGACATTTTTAATTGCCCTTACACCCGCGGCGAATACAACCGTCTTAACATTTGATAAACAAAAACCTCTTATCGCCCCTCTGTTTAAGTTTGTTTTAGCCGTGAAAAATAAAAATAAAACTTAGTTTTGAATTGATCTAAAATTTTTTTTAAGATATAGTTTAAGTTGCCCGATTTTCGAAAATTAGCTTCGTTAAAAGCTTGAACGCCTTAAGGAAAATAGTCGAGTGGCGTGGGATAATAGCAAAATAGAGTCACAGGCGGCATTGTAGGTTATTTAAGGACAGAAAATTAGGAGGGCAAAAACAAGTTCTTCTCGATGTCGTGGCTTTATTCGATTCGGTGAGCGAGAACGGAGATGCAAATCTCTTGTTGTAACTTCAACAACAATAGGTCAAAGACCATCTGCTATTATACGTCATACAGTGGCTGTCATTCAAATATACGTGAACAATTCGGAATATATCGTCTGTCGTATTAATTCGATTTTCTAATTTCGCAGTTTCGAGTAGCCAAGCGAAAGTCTTCACCTTGAATTGAATCGACTCCAGTTTAACAGTTTCGTTTTATTCCTGCAAATCATCGAGAGAAGAGTGATCTTTATCTGAGGGAGCGAATTTAATTATGACAGTCATTTAGAGACGTTTTAAAGCGAAGGGAGGTTTCTAAACCTTCATCAATTAGCCATATTGAAAACGGAAAACCCGCTGGGAAGAAGAGTTTTACACCGTTGAAAGCTATGAGTTTGATACGGTTTCTTCGTCTTCTCACCCGAAAGAAAGTAATCGACAATGATTTATCTAATTCTCAGCTTCGCCGATGTCTTGATCTCTTCGATTTAACTTCAATTGGTGTCGGTGCGACGGTTGGAGCAGGTCTGTACGTGGTCACTGGACAGATCGCCAGAGATGTCGCCGGACCAGCCATCGTGTTGTCGTTCTTCATTGCCGCTGTTGCCGCTTTCCTTTCGGGGATTTGTTACGCGGAATTCGGATGCCGTGTCGTAAAGGCAGGGTCTGCTTATGTGTACACCTACTCGTCTTTAGGTGAGATATGGGCATTTATCATCGGCTGGAACATGATTCTAGAGTATGTGATCGGTACAGCTTCGCTCGGCCGAGCCAGTAGCGAGTACATCGACTCCATTGCCGGCGGAGTTATTCGAAAATTCTTCATCGAAAACATCGGGGCGTTTAATGTATCTGGCTTGGGATCGTACCCGGATTTTCTGGCTTTTATTCTTGTTCTTCTGGTGTCCATGATCGTTGCTAGTGGAGCCAAGCACTCGGCCGTATTCAACAAATGCGTGACCACGGTTAATATGCTGGTAATAATCTTCGTGTTGGCTGTCGGCTTGTTCCATGTCAACCCTGGCAACTGGGTTGGCAGACAACAGTTCCTTCCATTCGGAGTGTCCGGAGTCCTGGCTGGTGCTGCGAGCTGTTTCTACTGCTTTGTCGGCTTTGATGTGATAGCAACAGCCAGTGAAGAGACCATTAATCCCAAGCGAGTCATTCCTCTCTCTATCATGTTGTGCCTTGTTATCAGCTTCCTTGCTTACTTTGGGGTTGCGTCCATTTTGACGTTGATGGTGTCCTATGACAAGCTCGACAAGTTCGCCCCCTTACCAGAAGCTTTCAAAGCAGCTGGTGTCCCCGCAGCCAAGTATGTCATTGCCGTCGGAGGGCTGTGTGCGTTAGCAGGTTCGCTGATGAGCGGCATCTTCGCTGTCCCAAGGATCATGTACTCCATGGCTAGCGATGGTCTCCTTTTCAAGTTCTTCGCGAGGATCTACGAGCGAACCAATGTTCCCCTGATCTCCATCACGTTCGCAGGGGTACTTTCAGCCCTTCTGGCCCTACTGCTAGACCTAAAACAGCTAGTTGAGATGCTGTCAATTGGTACCTTACTCGCCTATACCTTGGTCTCTATCTCTGTCCTTGTGCTAAGGTTCCAGCCTGGCGTCGAAGACGTAGATTATGACGAAGACACCTCGAGCTCAGTGCGAAGCTACAAAGTCATCTGTTGCCAAAAGATGCTGCCGGAATCGAAAGGTACCGAGTACAAGCCTTTAGAAAGCGTGGCAGACGACAAGAACCAAGAAATTAAGGCATCCGAAGAACCATCCACATCAACAAGTCATATTGCCAATGCTGCCATCTCGCTTCAGGTAGTGGGTCTCACCGGTTTCTGTGCGCTGCTCATAGCAGGATGGGGAGATTTAGGGGACGGCGAGGCATGGGCTGTATTCACAGCAGTTTTCCTCGGAATTCTCATAATATTTGGTTTTGTGGTGATGCAGCTTCAACCTAAAAGCAAAGCAAGATTCCCTTTCAAGGTTCCCTGCATACCGTGGCTTCCCATCGCCAGCGTCGTGGTAAATCTGTTCCTACTTCTCAAGTTGTCTGTCTGGACATGGGTACGATTCGGTGTTTGGATGATCGTAGGTAAGCTCGAATTTTTTTTTCTTCTCTTTCCAAACCAAAGGTGTGTTCTTTAAAATCGATATATTGATACTTGATTGTTCTTTTCCTCGTTTGATCCCCATTTTTGACCCCGATTTTCCCATTTTTACTTCTTTGGTCTCCCAGTCTCTGTATTCTTGAACTTCTTTTCGTATTTCTTTTAATAGAATCATAGAACCAGCATATTTTTCAATTATGAAGCGCTGGTAACGATTGAAGCAACCATGAAACATTTTCGACTTCATTTGAATTCGTAATTTTTCTGGATATATGATGTTAAAGTGCTCCGACCTTGTTTTAAGCCGCCTAAAAGAAATTCAAATGTATATTAAATGATATAAAGTTGTCTCTACGTTTTGGGAGGCTTTGAAACAAACTTGAGGTTTTTCGAAAGAAAATTCCGAAAACTTCAAAGGTGAAGATGAAGACTTATGCTCAACGTGCAAATTAACAATATGGGTTACTTCCAGAGTATTTAAGATTTACTTTTTCAACATAATGGGCGAATTCACTTTCGTGTCGAAGCTGATAAAAAACGCGATCGTGTTGCCTTTTAAATATGAGAACGCGGAAAAAAGTATACAGTATTGGTGGTCATGGATTTAAAAGCCAGATCTGAATAAGTATTATTTTCCTTTGTTCTGGAAAAGGTCCATTTATCAAAAAAATTTAGCATTTTGTGTTTCAAATGGAGTCTGCTGGCAATGAAGTTAATTTCTTAGAATTTCTCCTTTTGTATATACCGTGCGGGATGCATTTCAATAACAAAGTCATCTTTGCGAGAGTTATCGCCTTCTTCATTGCCAGCGAAAAGAATCAGAAAATTAGCAATTTGTGTCTGCTTGCCTTGGTTTAGATTCTTCAGCTTGAAATTGAACTGATAACTTAAATTTTCGCGTCAATACTTTCAATTTTTCTTCTTCAGTGATGGCATTTTCTGTATTTTGTACAAATATCTGCTCTTGTATAAAATGCAATTAACGTCACGGGTTAATTTTTTTTTTTTTTTCAAAAACCCTTTCTTTTTATCCGAGATATTTATATAGTTTTCATCTATAATCTTCAACAAAACGATAACAAGAGATAAACTACTTTCTTGTCTGGCTGAAATAATTTTTCTTTTATTCGCGTCATAGAAATTTATTCGAGTTCAGTAGTCGAACAGTTGTTGCCCACCTCCGCGTGTGACGCATTTTTATTGAAAACCACTTTGAGCTTTTAGCTTCCTCGTCCGTAATACAATATCGTCGAAAGATTAGCTATTTCAGTCTCAGCTTTCTAAACAGTATTAATCACATCCTTTATCGCTGCAACTATTACTGCTAGAAGTCTGAACTTTCGGGTATTCCTCGAAAGCACATTTTCATCACCGAGAAACGTAATCAAAACAATAAATTCCACTTTGCGGAAGACACGTTTCGAGCCGTCGAATTCTAGGGTACGTTTTTCTTCCGTATTGAGACCTATTTCTCCTAAACTTTTAAAATCTTCCTCGCCTTTTCCTGGCGATTGGCTACAAAGTAAAATGTGTTCAGTATTTCATCGAATTTTATGCCTGACAGAGGTTACTTGCATGCAGGTGTTTACGAAGATAAGATCGTCGTGGGTGGTTTACTCGCGCGATCTCGCGTGAAACACCGTCTTATGTTTCCGAATTCGATAAGAAGGCACCAAGATCTCTTAGAAAAGCTATCATTTTAATAAATTATCGACAGAGAAAACAGGGTTTGCAGTCTGCCACTAGTTTTTTTTTTTTTTACCCTTTTAAAGCGAAACCGGAAAAAACGACAGATAATTTTGCGGGGGAGGAGAAATTATCCTTGACGATATCCCTGACGATCTTTATCAATTTCTTCTACACAAGGTTGCCACAAATCCGTGCCATTTGCTATTCATTTAGGCTGTGGTTAGTGGAACACTTCGAGGAGAAGTGTTAAACAATTTAGTACCGTTCAACCGATTGAAATGATCTCAAAATTTTCGAGAGATGTTGCTACGATAAAATACAGCTATCATTAAAATGAAATTTTACGTAGCAGTATGTTACGCAAGGCGAAACAATGTTTTCTTGTCGCAGAGAAAAAAATTGAAAATTGTTTGAAAGCATCCTCAACGGATCTTCCTAAATATATTTCCCATACATTTATCGCTGCCGCCTTTCTCAGATGTCACGCAATGCTCCTTTGAAAACACGTAACATCCCAAAAGAAGGTGGCCATGGAGCCTAATTGATCTTCAACGTGAAAGAAAAATTGTACAGAAGAAAAACAGTATGAAAGGAATAGACAATACTGGGACGAGGGATGCTTGGGATGAAGAAGATTGAAACGGAACGCAAAGACAAAATTTCGTCAAAATTTACGAACCGTAACGCAACTCTGACAAAATTAAACACAAAGACCAAATTGTAGTTTGGTTTCGAATGTCTTTTCTGGGTTTGTTGGACTAATAGTATAACCATTTTATGCTGATCTTTCTATACATCTTTCACTTTTCTTCACATAGGATTTGTTATTTACTTTGGCTACGGAATAAGGAACAGCGCCGAAGGAATTCCGAAGCAAGACACAAACGACAACGATTTTATTCTTCAAGGAACACCACCTGTGGGACAAGATATACACCAAGTTCAGCCCAGTCATACAACTGATGAGGAAAAACCTTTAGCAGCAAGCTTCAGTGATCCTTCTTAGAGATTGAATCTCACGAAATTGTCCTTTGCCGCCGGTTCTTGAATGTAGCGCAACGATGTCACGCAATAAGGCTCTCAACATCGTTACGTGACATTCCAGAAAACGGCCAAAGAGGAAACCAGTAATTTGTTTGAAAATTTTTGAATTGTGTGTTAAAATATCGTTATTATTATTATATGAATCTAAAATCGGTTGTTGAAGAAATTTTGCGCTTTGGCAGACTTAAAGTTCTCCGAAATATCCTCAAAATTAGTTAAACTCTCCACGCCAGGACTAACGCTAAAAAAGCTCCATACAATTCCTTATAATAAAATTATAAGGAATTGTATGGATACTTACAGTGCAAGTCCTGTGTGTCTTCTCATATTTGAAATATAAAATTTTTCTTTGTTCTTTCAACCTAAAAGCAATATCCATATTTCTTCTTCTGATTGAGGATGTAGGATAGTGTTTAAGGTTGAATTCGTGTTGTAAATATCACTAAAAAGAAAAAAAAATTGATCTGGAACGAAAAATATGCTCGCTACTTCAGAGAAATTCTGTTTTAAAAAAGATGACACGAAAGTGTGTTTCACAAAATTTTGTTAACTCTAAGCGAAAATGCCTTCAAAGTAATGACATCGATAAAATTTACCATTAACATTTGGTTTGTATTATAATTATGTTCCTGTAAACAGTGGCTAACGCCCCTGAGAGTTTAATGGTATTTATTTTTATCTTCAAGAAAAAAAAGATAGGGAGAGTGAAAATTTCATTTGGGCAGCTGTAATTTCCGTTGAGACACTACTATTTTACAGACTTAGGGACGAATGGGCGTATTTGTTGCATCCCCGCTTAATTTAACTCGAGATCGTCGCGCAAAGTCTCTCCTCGCTCTCACTTCGTGGATGTTTCCACGCGCCTGAAAAACGCCTAACAAATGACGCCGTTACTGAAAGCTACAATGGCATGTACTTCTGAAAATGTGAACCGTTTCATGCTGTAGTTTCTTTGACATTTTTTGCTGAATTTCACTTTATAGATCACGTAGGCCCTTGTTGTGATAGTGATTTTTCTTCATAGTAAAGTTTTGATTTGAGTCACTAATTATTTGGAAGTATGTCAGTTCATTTTAGGAAACACTTTAGAAAATATGGGAGTAAAAAAATCGTTCGAGGTGTAACAACGCACTTTTTAAATACGAACTCATTTTAAGTAAATGATATTGTGGTTACGATTGCGCAAATTGTGCCGTGTGTGCTTTTTAGTACATTTCACTTATTTGTTGACCAAATGGTCTAGTACGGGAGAAGTCTATCACCCACGTTAAGCTGCGCAAAGGTCTCAGCTGGCCTGGGCTGCATATACTGGTACAGAATTAGTCGCAACTATGAAATTATTTATATTTTTACTACTTATCTCATCGTTACTTTTTTTTTTTTAGTTTGCATAGAATTATGAAGCTAGAGAAATACATCCCTTAAATGACCTTATGGTGACATGTGATAATAATCTTTCACGACATCAATAACTGAAAAAAATAATTTGTGGGTTAGTTAAAGGGAGTTTAAAATAGCTAATATGTTATCGAAGAACTCTATAACGGAGTGGTCAATGAAAATCATTGTCGCTAATTTTCCTTTGCAAGTGTTTTCGTCTTCTGAGAAACTCTGTATCTTATCTCCTCCAAAGTTTAGAGTGTCTGTAACCCAGGTCATTCTCTCTAGGGACCAGGACATATCTTCAGCTCTTCTAGTGCGCCTTTTCAATCAGCCATTCCATACCTGTTCCATTGCAGTTTTAGGGCGCTTTCCATCTGACCAAGATTTACTAAGGCTCATTAGCGACTAGAGGCTATCTGTGGTCTTACTTCATCGTTGCTTGGCTGATTCGTTTTGTTTGTTTTAAGGCAAACCACGTTACTCGCTAGCAAGTCAAACGCTCCTACCAAGGTAGAAAGCCAAAATATTTTTGATGCAAAGTACCGAGTAATCCTTGCATAACTGGGTATAAAATTTAACGTTTCCGTCATGCTCTCGAAAGCGACCACAAAAAAGAGCAGCCCAGTCTTGATGTTATGAATGTATCTTTGGCGAGGTTGTGATTTTTGGTTGGCGAAGTTATGATTGTTAACCAAATAAGCCTTTCAGTTGTTTTTCAAAGAAACCGCGCTGCTGCGTCAGTGGGGAAGGGGGGGAGTTCAAGATCATTAGGTTTTCTCCGAAGAAGGACCAGCACTCAGAACACCAGCTTCAGAAACTCTTTGCAGGTAACTAATTAGGGACTATTTAATTTCAACAGAGTAACTCAACAACCCAATACAGAAAACGAAAGCTTTAATTGACATGATTTGCGTAACTACTGAAAGAATGTCGAATATAAACAAGCAAAGATATCCGCACAAGATATCTGTCATAATAGCCTTATGTACAATCGACTGCCTTTTCCACCTTAGAAGTCGTGTTATCTCCGGTGTCTCCCATGGTCACGTCCTTTGTCCCTAGAATTCCGGTAGTCCACTCCATTCCTATCACGATGTCTGTCGTCCCGTTTCTTCTTGTCTCGCCCACGTTCATATTTCATGCGCGGCCTCTTAATGGGACTCCGTGATCGACTTCGACTACGAGAATACGGCGATCTACTTCGCGCCTTCTCCCGTTTGTAACTAATAGCTCCGTCAGTTCTCCCTTTCTTTTGCACGTAGTCACCGTCGTATTTCCGAGGTCGTGATCGTTTTTCATCGTCCCTTCCTCGGGGCGGGCTCCTTCGTCGTTTACTCTTCGCTTTCTGTTTTTCCGGGCTTTCATCGCTGCTTTCGGAGTCACTTCTGCTGATGTTGTCGGGGCTGATCGACAAGCTGTAACTTCTTGATCGACTTCGACTTCGGCTGGGAGTTGGACTTCTCGACCGGCTCCGAGAGCGGTGATGGACGGGAGATCTACTTCGGCGATTTCCTCCAGAGACTGGACTGCAATGGGAAAAACAACAGAGAGAAAAATAGTAGTGAGCATCAATCCGGGACTCTCTTTTGGGAACCAAGAGGTTAGCTCAATTGGTAGAGCGCCGGACAGTTGTGCGGGAGGTCGAGGGTTCGAGCCCCGGCCGGACCAACACTCAGGGTCTTAAAATAACTGAGGAGAATGTGCTACCTCTCTGTATAATATCAAGAAATGGATCGATATTCTAGTCTTCTCGGATAAGGACTATTAAACCGTAGGCCCTGTCTCCTGCAGGGTTACGGATAGGAGACGTTAATTTCCCACGCACGAGATTACTGTGTGGTGGATGTCCTTCCCAGGGATGGGATGGGTGGGTATATCTGCCGAGATGGGCTGTATTGCTCTTTGCAGATTAAAACATAGATGGATAGATACAAGGCAGCTGTTTGTCCAAGCTTAGGCGGTTGATGAGCTTCTCTACAAATGCGGACTTGGGAAACATTTCACTGGGTGCCTGCCCCGATTCAGCCTTAACAGAATAGAGACAAGACAATTATCTATCACATTCAAATGCTTAGTGCACGTTCTACATTGTTACCGTTCTTTGTAGTTCGTCCTTTTGTCTTCTTCTACCCTTGACGAGCTCTTCTTTTTGCCATCCATTACGCTTGCAGCGGATGGCGACACTTTACTGGGCGAAGAAGGCTTCGACCCTGAATAGACGATAAAAGACAGGAGTTTGTCTTTACACAAGATGCTCCGACATGTACGTCGTTAACCTCTAAAACTCGATCAGGAATCCTCAGCCCAGCTTTCCTGGCTATGTTAATTGAATCATATTGAATAGAGGTCACTCATAGCGATAAGTGTTTACCTGAGCCATCTTTAACTGCTGTGGCTCCGCCTGACGGTGACAGATTAGGAGTAGAGTTGGCTGCCGTGCCGTCTTCTGTTTTACTGTCACCCTTCTTCTGAGCGATTTTATTACGAATTTCATTAACATCCTTTTGAAGTGTATCAATGTTGGCCTAAGACAAAATAACACATTAATTTACTTAAAATAGGAAGACATACTTCTGGGTTTGACTTAATAAATATCTGACCATCCGTCGTGTTAAACGGACCACGTTCTTGTTCTTTTACAATAAATAGCCAACTTTCATGGAACGTTTTAGTACTGAATGCTTGCAATTCATTCAAGGCTGCAAATAACTAACGGGCAGTCGCCGGTCACGTTGTCCGGTCAAACATGCTTTTGCTAGGACACTACCCGTTTCTGGCTGGTCAAATTTTAACAGTCGGAACTCTTGCGATAGTGAACCCAGATTGCACAGTAATCCTTTTACAACTAAAAAACAACTGAATCCAAGTAGGTCTGGCAATAACAATTTTAAGTCACTAATTTTACTACTCTTTACTGCAGAAGCAGCCTCGCATTGAGTACGTGGAACGATTACGCAAGATACAACCGCAATTGTCCGTTTTACTTTACATCTGGCAAAATCACTTCTAATTAAATATTACACTCAGAGCCCGTTTTTTTTAAAGTTACAGTTGTGAATTTTTGTTAGAGTAAAAGAGTGGTCGGATTCTCCAGGTTTTGGGCCTTTTGCTCGCTTTTTGCACTTTGCAACAAATGCTACTTGGAGTATTCTCGATGCAACAAGATTATTTTTCGTGAGGGTGCTTTCCGATCATTCAATCGATCAAACAATCAATCACTTTATTTAAGAGTAAATGATGGTATCTAGCCAAAGGTAAAACCCTCTACTAACTGGGAACACTTAGATAAAGTAAATAAAATAACGGAATACACGATGATTTGCTGTCGCGACAGGACTTGATGACATCGCGGAAATTTGCGACTGCCGGGAATTTCTCGACCACTAATTTGTCTACTTTTATATTGTTTTTTTCTTTTTTCTTTTGGAAACATGACTGTGTCCCTCGTGATTAGCAAACAGTTAAAAATTAAAATTTCTTTGAACGAGTCGGTAAAGGACCGGACAAGATGTCCGGCAATCCAAGGATTTGTCCGGTCAGTACCCAATTTTGACCAGACATTGTCAGTTGACCGGCCGTTATTTGCAGCCCTGTCGTTGCAGAATATTTTTCGGTTATGAAAACAGGAGAGCGTGAGGTACAAGTCGCACTCTCATACATCAAATACAGATACAAATACATCAAATGGAGGTAAAAGAAGAAAGAAATTGCGGTAATTTCTCCTCTCATATATTGAGCCTCGTGATTTTGGTACAATCTTCGGCGTTCCAATAATTCCCTTGAATACAAGAGCACAGAAGCACAGAGAAGCAATGTCATTACCAACTCAAGCTGCAATTTTACCTTTGGTCGTAGATATAAACTCAAAAGAGTTAAACTAATTTTCTGCAAGAGGAAAAAAGAAAAAAACAAAAAAATATCAGTTAAGTCAATGCTCAAGACCCTTATGATGTCATTGTGACAAGCAAAAAGGCTTTCCACATGATTCACTTAAAAAAAAAAACTTAATTGAAATCAATTATTACTATCGAGTATTACTAACATTAAATTTGCACCTCAAAACAGAAACGAGAACAAGAACAACTCGAAGAATACCTCAAGATCTTCTAATTTAGCACCAAACAATTCCCACCAAGGCGGTCTGTTTGGTAAACTTATCTGAAATAGCCAAAAATATGATATAAGTATCAACAGTTTTGTAAACCTACACATCCAATAAATAAAAAAAATTTTTTCTCCTCCTTTACATACCCCTAACTGCCTTGCTGAGAGGAATATACAGGCACAGCCAATGGTCTCAGGAGGGTATCTTACAAAAACATTTGTTCTAAAACTATCATTCATAAAATTCCTGTGATGGGAAAAAAGGAGAGATGATAATCAGTTAATAAAATTCCTGTGATGGGAAAAAAGGAGAGATGATAATCAGTTAATAAATACAACAACTGGTAGCACAATAGGCTTGATTACCAGCCACTGTTTGGGAACTGGAGACCATGTTCCCCCTCAAAGAGACTCTTCTCTCTTCTTGGGGAGGAGCAAAAAAGACCCGAAAGAGTGGTGTAAACCGAGTCTATTAGTATAGTACCAGGGATTAGGTCAAATGTTTACAGATTGAAAAGGACAAACAGCACAGGAAGAACCTTACTGTTGCTTCATGCACCACCACCAATAACTTAAGACAATATCATTAATAAATTTACAAATAGTCTTAATCAATAAGGTGATAATGCTGATGACTGTGTGTCTCTCAAACTTCAAGTGATTAGCATCAAATTTCTCCCAACACTAATAACCCTAAATCAAACATTACAGTCATGAGAATGAAGAAAATGATTCCAAACTAAAGATTTTGATTGGTATACAAATTCTCCTTGTAAGTATGAGAGGAAACATATAAAGAACAGTAAGGAGAACTTGTATACTGTTGTTAGGGTGTAGATAATCGTACATACCAGGCAGACTGGACAAGTTCTCTCTTTTCTTTGCTCTCAAGGATTTCAAGATACATTATTATGATCTAAACAAGAAAAATAACATAATCTAAGCTGACACCTGCACCAGAAAACTATAGATTCTGTGTTAGTTGTTGTTTATAAAAAAAAATACACCTGGAACAGGGTTTGTTATAGGTTCCACTCCTATATAAGAAAATTAGCTCATCACACCAAAGGAAACAAACAATGAATCCCATTGAATCAATTGAGCTAATCACTGCTTCAGAATATAACAACAAAAAAGGTGAGAGAATTTGGGCAGAGTTCATTGCCCACATCTTTCGATTTGATTGTTTGGTTTCATGCATGTCACCCTGAAAACAGCAGTGACACAGTAATATGACTAATTAAACAAAGTTGCTTTCTTGTCAGAGGAAGAAGACAGAAATGGACTGACAATGTTAACCCAAAACAATGGAAGAGAAAGTTGTTAACCCTTAAGCTGTCACGACTATCTAAGACAGAACTTCTCATTGCAAAATCAATACAAGATCTAGCAAACAAATGATAAGGATGAAGAAAAATAAAAATTAAGAGATTAGTTGAACTAATACCAAATTCTCTGAATTAATATCATAAGAATTGAGTGGAAGACAGTGCAAATAATTACTAATGAGATCCTGAGAGTGAATTGGTTAAATACAGTTTCAATAAAATTATTGATCGCTGATTGTAGGGGGAGTGGTATTGGTACATACCTTATGGGGATGTTTTACATGAACACAAAACCCAAGTTCCTAAAAATAATGAGAGTAGAAGTGGTTAATCATTTAACTGAGTCTTACAATCAATAGAAGGAGTTCTATATCAAAGCAAACTTACCTTCAATATCCTTCTTTCAGCTTTGATGACTTGGTTTTTAAGGTTAAAGTAGGTGTTACCCATGTACTCCATGGGCTGAATTGTCCTGAAATATCATTAGTGATTAAACATTTAACCTTTCAAGCACAAATTCAAGACTAGCACTGCTCCGATGCCCTGCAGTGCTAACTCCAATCAGCCTTGAATCTCTCAAGTCACCTGGACAACCAGTGGTAATGCTTTGACAACCATGGAAACACTTAGATCAACAAAAATGCTCCAGTTTAACAGAACCTAGCTTAACACTTAAGCCATTTAACTGTTGTTGCATAGGATATACTACACTACAGTTTACTTTCTAAATATTAAATATTTTAGAAAAGCTGCTACAAAGTTCTTTTTTAGACATAGCCTAATTTGCCACATACCAGTAACATTTAAACTTAAGATGATTACCTAGTTACAACCACCTATATTTTTGACACAAAAATGAACATTCCAGTTAAGTCTCCAGTCTAGTCTCTGAGTAGACTAGTAATAGAGATCTTCCTCTCAGCCATGGTAGCAAGCTTTCTTCCAAGAATACTCCAACCTTGTTCCCAGTTGAAACTTGAAAGTTCTTTCTTTCCTCACTTCAGTTATGGAGCTAAAATTTCCAACACAGCACAAGCAAAACTTGTTCCAATAAGTCCACAGCTCACATAAAGATGGCTGTTCACTGGTTGACTGCAGGAGACACTTTGTAGAATTAACATGTACGTCAGCATTTAACTCTATCCTTGCTCTCACCCTAAAAAGAGAGGGAAGGGATCTAGCTTTAGGAAATCAAATCAGTTGGTTAATGAAGAGATCACCATAGTGTCTCCTCTAACTCAATCCTGGAAGTAATAGATAATGACTTCAAAATTGATTTTGGAAAAAGAATGCGAGAGTTTGAAGTCCTCATTATTATACTATATCCAACACAAATGCAAGAACTTGTTAAAAAGGAACAGACAACCATGGAAACTACGGCAAGAGTCAAGTGGTTTGCTTTTCATTCAAACAGGAAATGGTCACTTAAGTACTGTAAAGAGGTATATAACAGCTGTATAAAGCTTTTATCTCTAATTGCCAATTCTTTAAAAAGAAGCTTGTCCTATCAGAGGTAAAATATATCCCCAAACTGGATTGTTCGTGTAAAATAAAAACAACGATTTTTGGTGCATGCACGTTTCACATGAGAAAGGAGATTCAATGATATGATTGACTCAACTAGACTTTGGTTAGTTCACAGCTAGAGATGGCAAGATGAATACATTGTGTGGAGGCAGCATGGCTGAGTAGTCAGCGTGTCAGATGCGCAATCCACTGCTCCTGGGTTTGAGTCCCGCAATGACCACTACCTGGATTTGTTTCACGGTAGCGCTGAGTTCAAATCCTCAACCACACTTGTAAATAGCCAACTGGTTTGCCTCCAGCCAGTTGGGATTCTTAACAACTTTATGTTTAATTTAAATTATTTGTTTCAGTTGTTTGCTAAGCCCCACTAGCATTTTGTGTGCTATAAACACTGCCAAGGGTAAAATAATTTTTTTTTTTTTTACAGATAAATAGAATAAAGAAAGACATCATTCCTCAACTCTGAGGAGTAAGGAAATGATGTTTTTCTTTGTTCTTAATCAAACATCAAGGTTCCAAGAATAAAAGAAATGATCACGAACTCAAAAAACTCACAATTGTTAGACAAGTTGTCCTTTAAGTACCATAGGAAATGTTAAGAGAACAGTATGGTTGATATGCATACTGATGTGAGGGTGCTAAAGGATTACAAGTCAACTACATTATCCTTAAAGGATCCCTTCCAACCACAATACATTGCGCGTGCGATATGTGAAATCCGCCATTTTCTCTGCCATCCGGTATTGGACAAGTCGTGAAGTGGAAAGAAATCCTCGTTCATCCGAGTACATTTGCCTCACTGAGGTCTTGAATTTCCTCAATCGCGTTCCAAATTTATTGTTCTTTCTATTTGACTAGTTATTTCTTAATTATTTTTTCTGTTTGGGCGTGCAGGGTATTGTGGTTGGAAGGGATCCTTTAAAAGCTAAAAAAAAAAAAAAAAAACAAATTAAACCGTCTGCAACGTTTCACAATTATTACTTGCTACATGTGACAACCTGTTGTATTTCTGATCAGGTAACCTGTCCACTGCTGGTGAAGTTTATATACCAGAGAGATAGAAGTGACAGAATATTAATTTCCTCATTGCAAAGATCAATGAAAATCTAGCAATGTTTCCTCAAAAAATTTACCCAACCTGTGAAGATCTTCATCTCAACACCTGATTACACTTTGAGTGTGCTCATCTATGTCTAAAGATTGCACGACATCATCTAGACAGTTACCAACTTAATTAATTTCTCACATCTGAACAAAAGGTCCAAAATTGAAGATCACAAGTGCAAGTGCTTCCCATTCACACAAGATGCTAATTTCAGTTTTGATTTTCATTTGAGCATTTGTGACTCTTTTCCAGCACCTTGAAAGCCTTTAAATGGTAAGCTACTACTGATCTATATCTCAAAAGAATAACATTTTTTCAGGTTACAGGTCTATAGGAACACAGACTTCACAACTTGATGTGCACAAAAAACAGTTGGAAAAAAAGCCCTTCCATGGGCCAAAAAGTTGAATTGAGATTATCTCAGAAAAATGGTAGAATACTTATCAGCTTTACTAATAAGAGTATTTTCCTTACCCACAAAAAATATTCTAGGTATGCAACAATTAGTGTAGACACTTTGGTATAAGTGAGGAATACCTTTTCCAAAAGGTCACTTAGAAGAACTGCAATCATGACCATAATTGATATTAGCCTAAATCCTCAAATATTTCTTATTCTAGGCACAAACTGCTTGTGTTTTATCCACCCCTCTTTTAGTGGCATATGCTTAATTGGTAGAATTGGTAAAAAGTAAATAAAATCAATAACGATAATGATAATGGCTTACGTCAACAAAAATGATAGGGAAAAGAAACCAGCTATGATAACATTTGCCACAATGTTGGTCAGTTCTCAAGATTTTTCGGTTCAGCGGTCTATTTCCCAGTTACCTTAGCTGCTATACCTGTCTATTTTAAGATTTTCAAACATGCCAATTGTAGTGTTCTACAACTCAGCATCAATTCCAAAGTGAAATTTTGATGAAGGATATTTGAATAGCAATACCCTTGTAAGGCTAACCTTGCACATTGGAGTTACATAAAAGAGTAGACATTTCCCATTGAGGTTAAATGAAAGAGTTACTTGAAAATGCTGTCTCATAAAGCAAGAATAAAGATGGAGAGGTAGAGCATTTCTTCTTCGTTATAGAGTTTGTGAATTTAGAGGAATTGGATAACCTTCCAACTGATAAGAAAAAGTTGAGAATCACTAAATGCTCTTCAAGCCAAAGCACAGGGATGATACAAATTCATATACTTTCATGTACTAATATCTAGAGTGGGCAGCAAAGTTTAATGATAAGTGGCATAAGAACACAACAGAATAATTTCACAAAGAAACAAAAAATTGTTGACCATGAATTGTTTTGATAAAAAGGCAAAAGAAGTTTCCTCACTAAAGCTATATATTCTCATGTAAGCCCAGAGATCTGGCCTACATTCATCAAAATCTGAACCTGCTACTGCAGTTCTAATAACATACAAAAAGACTGAACTCTGAAAACAAGCGAGTACTGTACACAAAGTCCCCAGCAACATTTAAGATAACATCAATTCCAGGCTGTCATAGACTGCATTCCATGTACACAGTACTCATATTCATTTCCTATAACATCTTCCCGGTAATGAAAAGAGGTGAGCTCACTCTAATGATCCTTGACAACTTTTCCTTGACAACTGAAATGAATTCCAGGGAAACATTGGGGCTCAAGGTGAAAAAAGAATTTTCCACCAATGCAGATGTTAGGTGCTTTGTTACACATCCAAAAGGTGGAACTTAGTAACCAAGCAAAAACAAGGGCATTTATAGCAGTACAAGCTGTATTTTTTCTTCTACACCACAAGTTTAAAAATCTGGTCCTCCAATAAAGTAGAGAACTGTTTTTTTTTTTTTTTCAAAGCTGCTCCACTGAGTTTTGAACAAGTAGTCACAAATTAATAATGTGTAGAATTGCAAACAAGTTCAGATAAGAGTGCTTGAAGAAATCGTGCCACAATCACACCACTGGCCTCCGCCGATGCTCCAATCATGAGCAACACCTGGAAAACGATCACCTTCAATAAATGTATCTTGGAATTGGGATAAATCTCAATTTATGTAAGGTCATGAGATTACTTATTGGCAAATCACAATCATCTTTAAATGAGGGACACTATGCTTTCTGCTTCAGAGGTTAATACAAGGTCTGGCAGGTTTGCAAGTCAATCTATCAAAAAGAATTGACTGAACATAAGGAGTTACCTTTTGCAGAACAAGTGGAGCCTCCTTTAGAAGGTTGTCCACAAAAAAAGTGTCAGTGACTAAGTGGGTGCAGAGGACACTCTCTAGCATTTTGGACAAAGATTATGATATGAACAACCAACCATCCAATGTCTTAACAATTGTTACTAATTACTAGAGCCCAGTTGTTTGAAAGCCAATTAGTTCTAACCCAGGGTTAACTTTTAATCCAGGATTCTTTATTCCTTTGTCCAAAAGCCCAGTTGGGATAATTTTCTCTATTCTTTTAGAGCTTCCAGATCAATGGTTATTTCAACCCAGCTTGGAACAATCCAGCCCAGGGGACCCTACTTTTGAGAATACACATACAACTGGAAAACCAGTTGTTTCCTGTAGCCTTTCATTATTTCTACCTTTTCTTACAAAAAAGAAATCAATGAAATCTCCTATTCTTCCTGTATGTAGCTTCATAGGTCAGATGATAGTGGATCCCATATAGTAGACCACAGACAAAAGTTAAAGGGGGGGGATTCGCTTTGCTTGTACTAACCAGAGTTAGGGTCAATTTGTCAAGAGGTCTGTGTCCAAGACCCGAGTGTCATTGTGTTTTGTTCTTGGGATCTTCACTTTCACAGCTCCTCTCTACATCCAGGAAAATAGATGGGCACCATCAAACAGTTGGAGCAGCCTGATCAAATACTAGGGAGTAGGGAGTGAGGAGTGAGGTTATCCTGTATCAGACAAGCATCCTATCATGCGGGAGCAGAGATACTCCTGGTTGCTTCCTGCTTTGGAGACCAACATAAGCTTCATCTCTTATGTGGACTCAAGTGCAAACTTCACCTTTGCCTCTACAATACCCGAAGTTGATGTATGTTGGGGAAAAAGAAAGTAAAAGTGGGTAGTGTTGACAGCTTTCCATACTACAACCATTTTAATCGCCCTGGCAAGTGAAAAATATATTTGGCATATATGTGGCTTACGTCACCAGTTGCTGACCAACAGATTGAATTAATCAAACAAAACAAAACAAAATAAAAAAACTTGAAAAATTCATTAACATTTGGTCAAATTATCAAACATACAAACAGTAACTGCTGTCTTTCTTTTTTCCTCTTATGTCATTCTCAAACTCTCAAATCTAAATCTTGTTAAACATGATTTTTCACCCTGTCTCACTAAATCTTTGTTGCTACTGGATATCCAAGTCTTTTCCTTCTCTTCCCCTTGACCATTTTTACAATCTTAAATCAGCAGGCAAGTCAACATTTGATATGATAAAGACAGGAAAGACAATTAACTATTAGAAGACCTCACAACATATCAAAAGAGCAAGCTGCACAACAATTGGAGTACTTTAACCAGTCCCACAAAAATGTAAACATAATACAAAACTTAAGTTGTTTAGTTTTCTTGAAGTCAAGTAATTTCTTTTTCAACTTACTATTGCTTCCAAAATTTATGTTAATAAGTTGATGTTGATAGAAGCTACAACGTATAAGTAAATTTTAGATGTACAGGGTAAACTAAGGAAAAGTTGACTAAACCCTGGAGAAAAAAGACAAAAGCAACTATCCAATAGCTTTTATTCATGACAGATGTTGGCTTATCTCCCAGCAAAGCATGAAATTTTTACAGAAGGCACTGTATAAGTAAACTGAATGGAAGCACTCTGCTGTTACAGTTATGAAGTTAGGGATTTCATTAGAAGCCAGCAACTGGTGAATTCTGGTGGCTACTCTCCACAACAGAGCTGGCTACTATGGCCATTCCACCTCCCAGTTTTTGCATGTTTTTTGGGAAAACCTTCAATTTATTTTAAAGGCAGTCATCAACAATGGTATGGTTGTTGGGTGATTTTTGTAATGAGTTCTAACAGTTCAATCAGCAACACGATCGGTTCGCTGTGCACCATGTTGAATGGAGAGAAGAGAAAAACTGGCGATGAATCTGCCTTGATTACTGCTGAAATGTCTTCTGCCTACTTATGTCCTAATATTCACCTACTTCCAAATTAATGAAATCCCTAGAAGTTTCGTGATAGATTCAATACCAAATTCAAATATAAACTCAATTTCTAAATTGGTCAATTCTACTTTTGAATTAAGCTAGTTTTATTTCAAGTAAACCCATACCAAGTACAAACATGAACTCCAAGAACACTGTTTAACCAGGGAGTTAAATTTGCACCTAATATGGGTGCCAACGCAACTACATTTTTCACTTTGGTGACCAATTCTGAAACTTAGTCACCAAATTGGCTACTAGATCACCTCACCACACCTTATCGAAAAATATAGTAAATACAAAGATTTCTAAAATAAAATCTGCTGAAACTTCTTCTTGGTTTGTTTCCTATCACAAGATACCATTTTAATTTAGGTAACAATTCATGGATATATCATAGTTTTTGGGAGATTACAGCTACTTCCAGAGTTTTTTTTACCAATTTAGAAGCCCAAACCATTTATATTAAATACCATTCAGTGTAGAAGTCTTCTGATCAGTTTAATAGTTGAAAGGAAAAAGGGGCTCACAGAATGCACTTCTTGCATTCCTTCATATAACAAGGGCACTATTGTCATTGTAATAGTTGCACAAGATTCTATCTAGTATAATGTCTTCATAAAAAATAGACAGTCAAAGACTGCATGTGGCTACAAGTAAAGGGCAATTTTTATAGCAACTGTAAACAACCTTTTGGAAGTGGCTACCACTTTAAATATATACTACTAGAAAAAGTTAAATCATTCTCCATTAACCCTCTGCTATATTGAGGAGGACAGTATTTGAAAAAGATATTTGCACAAAACAAAAAATGTCCTCAAACCAGCAATCATAGCACAAAATGAAAATGCAACATCTTAAGTAAAATTAAACTTAGAAGAAAGGCTTACCTTTACTGTTCTGTCAGCTTCCGCCTCTAACTAGTAATGATTCACACCCACTTGAATTCTTAACTGGATACCACACCAATGATATAGACAGGCCATTAATTTTGCCCCTTGCCCTTTTGGTGCAAAGTTTCCACAGAAGAAAATTCTCCGTATATCCAATGTCACATTGCCTTTAACATTTGAACTCCAAAACATCCAATGAACTTCACATCGCACATCATTTCCAGCACTGTAAAGCCATTGCTCACTTTTCTTTTAACATAACTCTAATGATGGCAACAACTTCCAAATTACACAGTTGCAGTTCTAGACATGACTAACATTTGATACAATCCAGGGATATTTGCTTGGAATTAACACATATGTAGTTCTTATTCCAAGGCCTCCTAATCATCTTTCTTTGACACATTTGACAGGTTCATGTTCCTTGACTCAGATATTGTAAAAGAAATATTACAACAACTGAACTGCATTTCCAAGAATATAAAAAAATACATAGCAGTACCTTTAAGGTCAGCTTCAACCTCATTCCTAAGAAAACCTACCCTCACCTATCAAAGAATTAAGATCAACAGTAGTTCTTGAACAAGGAGTTCTCGCATGTTATCACCTTAAACTAGAGCATTTTTGTCAACTTAAATTCAACTTCCAAGAATTTTGATGGGCTGACATTACGTCAAACCTGAAAAAATTTACTCGGAGATAAATATACTTTTACATGTGCCCTGCTTGCCTTCTGTTAATGCAGACCATTGACCAATGGGAGAAGCACCACTTCAGTCCAATGTTGCCAAGGTAACACCAGACCCATCAGAGCTGGTTTAGAGCAACACAGAGGGTTGGTGCGTTGGGTGGTGAGAAGGTAGCAGGCTGCTGGAGTTAGCAATGACAGCACAGAGAAAAAGAGAAAAAAGCCAAGTCAGTTAAAATTCTAATGTCTATTGATGGAATCTGAAAATCTTCTGACCACACTTTATACTAAACAGTGACTCGATAATCATTCCAAATGGGGACTAAATGTCAAAAAAAGACAATGAATTTCACTGTTTAAACCTTAAAATATCATGAATTATTTTCTGATGATTTCCCATCTGCAGGTACACAAATGCATGTCTGTACCCTCATGGCTTTTAACTTGTTACTTTAATCACCTGCATGTATTTAAGAAACCTAATTTCAGTTTATAACAAGGTAAGCCTGTTAACTTTGAGAAGAAAGTGACAATGATAATGAGAACAATAATACAATCATGCAATATAATCAAAGCCTTAGTTGAACTTGGCTCAGACGGAGGGATGTGTGTTTTATTTCCCAGAAGTAAAGGAAAAAATTGAAGGTATTTGATAACTGAATGATTCAGGATTCATTTCCCTTGTAATTATTCAGTTTTCAGAGATGAAATAATTACTGAAATTTTAAAAAATATGCTTGAAAGTAATCTTTAATTGCACTAAGGCTTGGGATAATATATTTATAAAAACTCTTTCTGCTTTCACTGCACTTCAATCAATCTGATTTTGAGTTGTATCATGGCTGAACTGTGAATGGAACTCCTAACATTTCAGAGTAATGACTTCAGGACTTCCAAGGAAATTGAAAACCTTGTTTTTTTTTTCAAAACTGGTTTTTCTTTCAGCAATCACACCCCAAGAGTAGGAGCTGCTTTTGAAAAGAAGACTGCAAAACTATTAAGATAAAAAATTGCCTTGCAGCAAGTTTGACGTTCTCAAAAAAGGAGTGATTCTCTTCAAATCAACCCTGATAGTGACCAGAAACAACATTTACAGAAATTTTGGAGTAAAAATTAACAAAATAACAGTACTGCACAACAAATGTACAGTACTGCAGCAATTACATGAAGAAATAATTTAATTTTGAAAACAGCCTAATATTTTGCACCAAAAAGTAAATATCAGGCTTTTATAAATGATGTACTTGAAGACTTGTAGTCTAACAAGTTGGACAAACTTCTTCAGATCTTTTATGAGAAAAAAAATTTGATTTTGGACATTTTTTTCACTCATTTTATTTCTTTTGTGGCGGAAAACGTTAGGAATTTTTTTTTGGTAAAACACAGGAAACAAGAGACAATCAGATTTTCAAAAACACTTACAAAGTGTTCAAGAAGTAAAATCACGACGGAAAAATTAATCAGTTACTATTTAGTATTGGTCGTAGCATGGACTCTCTCCCTTGGCTTCTCCCTTGTCCCCAACAAATGCACAAATATTTACCTGGCATTCCTTCTCTGTTTTATGTGATGAAACACGTTAATCACGTCCCGAATTCTTCTCGGGCATTCTTCGATTTTTGCAGCGAGAAAAATACATGCCATGGCGTATATCTGCAATGCAAGTTTATGAAGACGGTAGGTTCGGCATGAATTTTGCGTTTGTTAAATCACTAATTTTAATGCAAGACGGATTAGCCTCAAAATAAAACTTATTTTTCACTGACCCTGTGCATAATAAGTCAAATAGAGGTGTTCAGTAAAATCGATCATGGACACTTTACAAAGCACATGCACGCAACTTCGCCGCAATAGATATAAAAGACTGTTAAGAATTTTCTTTCACTTAAACAAAGTTGGAGAAAGGTTAAATGGGTAGACTGAATTTCATCTCTGTACCAGAGTTAAGATAGATATCCAACAGGAGAACTCTTATTAAAAAAATACTCAGAGGATCAAATTAATGTAAAGAAGAACTGCATACAATCCATGTACAACAATCATCCAATTGCTTGCACGTTAAAAGTACTTTAACTTACCTCGCAGTCGTGTTTTACGAGCGACTTACTGTAGTAAAACCGTTGAAATAACACTTGAGCTGTAGCCATAGCTACCTGAAGGTTCCAAAGCAAAGAAACTCAGCCCACAACATCAACGTAACTCAAGTTTCCAAAAACCAAACCGGAATTATACCTACCTGAGGTAATTTCAGCAAGATGCCCGCCACCTGAATATACTCGCAACCTATGATTCGTAAATCGATTTCTACTTCTTTATCTAAGCCATCTTTCGATGAAGGTGTATTCTGAAGTTGTTCTTCGTCAAGAATGCAGTTTTCAAGCGAAATAACTACGTCGCCGTAGTCCGATTTGCCGGTAAGAGCGGCCATGTTCGATAGTCTTATCCGACGTTCTTGCGACGTCACATTCTCCTTCTATGATGTCACGGTTGGAAGCACGTGCACGAATATTACCTTATTTGGGATAATTTGTTGTCGTTATACCCTCGGAGGTTGTCGGAATTAACGCGAAAGCGGGAAACATGGCTGTCGAACTGGGTGAAAAAAACCAGAAAGACGATGAAGTTGATATTTTAACAAAGATCACAGATTATGTGGACAAACAGTTACGACTTTTCAGGGTGAGAAAAGAATGGGTTTAAAGAGTCTCTGTTCCTTGATCACTTGACTCAATGGCTGCATGATAAAATAATGATTAAAAGAATTATAAGCATAACTTTTACTTTTAAAGAAATTTTAGGATAACTTCAGTAAATAGAATAATATTTTTTCTTGGGAAAATTCTATGATAAGTATGTATTAAGCATAGATCTGCTTTCCACAGAATGTTTCCTGGGTTCTGGCTGGAGCTGGAATTATACTAATAGTGAGAAGAACATATGTGGTAAGTATTCTGTTACTATCATTAGGTAGGGATAAGGAAATAGTTGTGAGAGCTAGGAAATGACACTGTTGTAGAAACTACACAACGTTTATCAAAGAAGTGAACTGAAAATTACAGAAAACCCGGATGTATTTAAGTTTTTCTGTCTTATTCTGGGATGATAGTGAAATCATTACAAGAAAAGCCAATAAAAATTAAAACTGAAAATGAATTTTAATAGTAGATAAACTTCTGTCATACAGGGGCCTTGTGCAACGCTCTGAAAAGCATATAATTGTATTCTTGTAAGATATATCAATACCATATTGGATGCAGGCCGTTAATAGTGTCCTTGCTCTTTATAAAGTGAGTGCCTGGTTCTGGCAAGTGCTTTACTGAATGAAACATTGTTGCTTAGTTTAGGCATTTTAAAGTTGTCTCTGACATCCCCAAAGAATTTGTAGCCAAGAACATCACCTTTCGTGGCCATGTTTGTGAGGTGAGATTTGACAACACTCTTGGCGTTTATCACATTCCTTTGATCAGAAGACTTAAATATTCATCTGATACAGGTTGGTTCTCAATTTACTAGAGCTACAGATGTGGTATTTTTCTAGTGAGATAAATATCCAACAAGTGCCTTCCTAGTTTCTCTCATCCTTTTGTAGACATTTTGGGAAGTAAGGTTACCTCAGCCTGCAGCACCTTGAATTGTCTGCTTGCCTCATTCTTACTTCAGTCTTCACTTGGCAGTGAAAAGGAAAGAAATGATCCTTGAAGATATGCTGCAATTAAAAAGAGGCATGAAAAAAACAGGAACTTGATTGTACTCCCAACATGAGGCTAAGTTAGCACTACCCAAATAGTATCAAGGAGACACCAGTTCTAACCCCATCCTTCTAATTAGTTTTAATATTAGATTATGGAAAGGATATCCAGATGTATTTTTAGACTAAATGCGGGTAAGAAAAAAAATACATTTTGTTTTTTAACTTATAGCTATTGTAGATACACATACATTTTTGTAACAAGTCTGTCTCTTATACTCATCAATGTCACGTGTCTAAATAAAGTTATTCATTCATTCATTCACTTGGGAACTTTAAAATTTGATGTGTATTTTTTTATTTTTAAACAGAGGTCTCAAAACAATCCAGTCTTCTTGCCATCAGTCTTGTAGGAGTGGAATTCAGGGAAGGTGGGCACGAGTGGCTTTCAGGCCATCTGATGTCTACTGATGTTAAGATAACTCCTTTCCAAGTCACCAAAAAGCATACATTGGACTGCATGGTGTACAAGAAAAAGGTAGACATGTTACATGCTTATTGCTTTTTTATGTTACTATGCAAATTTAAGGTTTTGTGGATGGGTGACTTTAGTGTAACTGCCGGCATTCCTCTCGTGTGAGTTGTATGCAGGGTTTTTTCACAGAGAATAAATTGTTTTGCAGTTTTGTGAAGATTGCAGCTGGTTATTAAAGATAGCCTTTAGCCTTTTTGTGTGGCAGTGAGGCCCTTCATTATTTCACTAGTACCAATGTAGTAAGTGACTGTCCAATGAACCAACCAATTTTAGTAGGTGTGACAATCATTTACATGTGGCCATAAAGGATTGCTTTTCTGTAACAACCCCTAACGATCTATAATTTTATTTTAATTTTTAATTTTAATTTAATTTAGTCCATTTTCACTGCATTAAGTTTTGCAGTGGGGAAGGACTAGAAAGGAACATAGGAACCATTCGTGCTAGTCCACCCTCCCACCCATACCACCCCAGGGGAGGACATCCCTCACACAGTAATCTCGTGTGTGGGAAATTAACGTCCCCTACCCCAACTCTGCGGGAGACAGGACCTCCATTTATTCATCCCTATCCGAGAAGACTAGAATATTTAATCATTTCTTGATGTTTTAGAAAGGTAGCAAATTCTTCTCAATTATTTAAGATCCTGAGTGTTGGTCCAGCTGGGGCTCGAACCCTCGACCTCCCGCACGACAGTCCAGCGCTCTTTCCATTGAGCTAACCGGGAGGCGGTTTGAATTAAACTTTGAAATTAAAATTGAATTTTTGAATTAAACTTTAAAAGAAGACTTATCATAGTGAATGAATGGTTTGAAAATTGGGGAATATTACTTGTCTGAGTGATATCCACAGATGTCCCCCAGTTTTATTAGGGGAATATTTGGTCACGTGATGTGTGCACCAATTGTGCATGAGCAAAAATATTTGATAGATCATAACTAAATTGTACAAATATACATTACTGTACCTTAAAAGGTTGAAGTTGAATTTCAGATAAACAAGCTGATAGTTGGAACATGGAGATAAAAAAAATATATTAAATTCTGACTAGAACTCTCCTGGTACAAATATTAAGAGTTTTAGTTGTCAAGGTGTCTAATTTGGTTTGCACATGAAGAAGCAAAGAAGTTGGTGCATACTTTTTTCCAATAAAGTTGGCATTTATGCTGTGTTGATAGGATGCTTCTTTTCAAGCCATTTTACTTTCATACCCATTGTCAAAATCTAAATATTATACAGTTAATCACTTTATTCTTGTTTTCAGAACTGGTTTTCATCTATATGTGTAAATCAAGAATTATTGCGTCAAGGTGTAGCAGTCACATGTCATGTTCCCACACTTGTCAACAGTCCAGTCTTTCAAAAACTTCAAAGACAACTCTTGAAGGCAGAATTATTTGCTGAAAAGAAAGGTGTTGGTGTTTGGAAGAGACCATCAAGAGTAGAAGCACTTCAGAAAAAAATGTCTGCTCCAATCTCCTTGATAAAGAGGGGACTTGATGCTTTTAAATACCTTAGAAGTCTGTTTTCAAGGGAAGCGACAAACCATAAAGAGAAGTAGTTTTCAAAAAAAGTTTTCTAAAGAATTTCTAAAAAATTATCTCCCAGTATGGTTGAGATTATGAAAATGAATTGCAATCCATTGATGATACTGACATCATCAAGGAGTATAATTTTATGCCATTTTCACCTACTGGTATTTGCTGATCTTGCATGTTTTTCCAAGTTGCAAAGCATGGGATGGCAGTAGAATATTTAATCATAATTAATTTTGTTTGTCACATCAACATGGATGCTTCTACTTGTCCCTTAAAAAGGACACAGAGAATAAACTAGGTTAAGCTCTTCCTCAGTCGTGTACTGATTCCTTAAAGAGAAATTTTACCTACAGTAGAACAAACTAGCCCTAGTTTTACAGCAAGGGATTTTTTAACATGATTTTAAGGCAAAATTGAGTTGCCAAAGTTTTAAGACGGCATATTATTTGAACGCAGCCTGTGGAAAAGAAGCATTGGTTGTTTTAAATTTTATTGTAGTTATGAGAAAAGGGATGCAGTGGCCTTATGGTCAATATGCAGGACTCTCGGTCAAGAGGTCTGGGTCTGAGACCTGGCTTGGGTCACTGTGTTGCATTCACAGTACCTTTCTCGACCCAGGAGTACAAATGGGTACGAGCGGATTGTCAAGAAGGCCTGATTAAATTCTTGGGAGTAACCCTGCAATGGAGTGGCATACCATCCAGAGTGGAGCAGTAATACTCATAGTCAGTTCATGCCACATGCTCTGGCTGGTTCAACCAATAGCCTTCGGTACAGACTATAATAGAAGTAAGGGGGGGTGGTGGTGGTAGTCTGTGGATTATGATTCTATAGGGCTGATGGAAATAATGTGTTAATAATAAAAGTTCTCTTGCTAAATTGACCCGGCTATTTCCTTCCCATATTACCAAGAATTGTTTAGAGGAACTTGTTTTGTCAAGCCATCCTCTGTGATTTGAACAAATATAAATCAAAATCAACATTTTATGAGGATTCAGTAATTTTTTAATTTCATATAAACTTCATACATCTCGTCTATATTTTTTTATTTTATAAATTCATTAAAATGATCCATACCATTAATTGTCACCAATTCAACAGGCTTTTATGCCTCTTGAGTTCATGAGGTAAAAACAAATAAATTAACAAACAAAAATGATGTTTTCCTATGATGCAAACAAAATTTTCCATACCTAGTACATAAGTTTTAATCAGAAATAATTACAAAAGAAAGGATCTGGGTTGCCAACCATATGAAAATACATCAAAACATATTTCAGTGATTTTGGAGAAAAATATGTTAAATTTAAGACATTTGAAACTCCAAAAGTTTAAAAAAACCTTCAAAATACATTTAGGGAATTTACATCAAGTTGATTGTGTTCTCAATATAAATAGTATTAGCTAGTCTATTTTTAAACCTTTGACTCTTATGAGTGACCAAGACAGAATTTCTCCCTATAACATCCATATAATATCAAGCAGAGAAGTAATGAGAATAAAGAAAAATATCAACCAGAGGATGACTACATGGTCTAATACCATGTAGTCATCCATGTAGTTATACCATGTTTAATTCTATAAACTAACATCATAAGGATTTTAGAGCAGACAGTATGGAGAACTGCTAATAAGATCTGGGAGTAAAAGGGTTAGGAGACAAAAATTCACTAAAGGATCATAAGAAGCATGTAACTGCTCAGTGATTAATTGATCTGTGAAGTACCCTAAATATTAAGTATAATTGAGCTTCACATGGTGTATGTGGCCATGAAAGAAATTAAAAAATCTAACCATAGTATCATTTGACAGCCTTCTCAAAACTGGCCTGTCGGCGGCTCAACGAGCCCCCTCCTTTCAAATCTTGGCAGTCTCTTTTCAGTCAAAAAATATAATTCTTAACGGCAACAAATGAAAAAGAAAACAAGAAAAATTAAACGCGAACAAAGAAAGTTAAAGAAAAGCCACCAGAGTGCGTTTAGCCGGCGTGATCCGCTTAAATCTTATATAATAATTACACTCTACTTTTTTCCCTTTCAACACACCCAATATGCACCAAATTGCATCTCCGAGCATCTAAATTTCCAAAATTTTCTGGGGAGCATGCCCCCGGACCCCCCTACAGGCTCGTGCCTGAAGGGCACTCAAAGGGTGCTGTTGGCACCTCAACCAACTCCTTGAAATTTTTTTGAGAAGGCTGATTGAACTATGTTGCCTTTCTGCGAATATAGTCAGTCCAGGAGCCCCTTTTTCAAAAGTTCCAGCAACTTAATGGACCCAAAGCCATAATTATTTTAAAAACAAAATTAAAGAATAGACTAGCAGGTTATGGTAACTTATCAGTCCATTTTCTTTCTTATGCTGATATTTTCACTGTTTAATTTTCAAAACTAGTGAAACCCCTATCTTGAATGAAAACAGAATAGCTTAAAGGGCCTGCTTGGTGACCCTATTAAAATATCTGATTCTCACCTTTGAGTGTAGTATGTAAGAAACACCCATATCATACATGAAGGGCAGTCAAATAAAGGCCAGCAATTTCCCTCAATTTGATTATTCCTTGGTAGTTTCTGATGAAGGGCAAACACTCAAAATGTCAGCTTGGAAACTCTTTATAGTGGCCAATTTACATCAACACAGTTGATAAAACCAAATTGTTATATATCTTGTTATACTCCACCCATAAAACACCACAGTTTCTTCAGAAACTTACCCCCTTTACATTTTATTACAATTTGCTTAACCTAACACAGCATCTATATTGCTTAGTCACGTTAACTATGTAGAAAAAAATTGTGGCTAAGGATCTGTTCACACCAAATCATAAAGAACAAATTTGGATTACACATTCTATAGTCCACACACACACACACACACAGATTATTTACATGTATAAACTAGTGTTGCCTAGTGGATCTTCCCAAAAGTGTTTACCAGAAGCAACTACAAATTCAGGAAGGAGTGTTGGGCAAAGATTCAGCCAACAAACAGGAAGTAACTGAGTGAAGTACCTCCAAATGTAGACCAACACTTTAATCTCGATTCTGACATGTTATGACACTGTAGATAACTGATTGTCACCGCTCAACAAACAAGTTTCATTATGTTGAACTCAAAATATGACTGGCTGGATTAGTACACCTTGGAATTTATCATTTCAGTCTTACCCTCTATTGGTTTTCATTGTTCAATTGGCCTGAGATAAGTTAAATGCACTGTAAAGGGTCTCGGCAACAAATTCTGACAATCACTCAAAAAATAAAGAAGCCTACCAAGGCCTCATTGAACTCCACCCCTAGACCCTGATCTAAATCAGCTGTATCTCTCAGCATGTTCTACAGTGAGACCCTTGTTTAGACTTCCTCGTGTTCTTTGTCTTCTCTGTCCTTTTGCTTGATTTTTTTCTGGTGACTTTTGGCTCTTTGGTATAGGAAGACTCCACATGTCACCATAATAGTTCCTATGGCACTAAGGGTTGTTACCTCATTACCAAACACTAAGACAGACAACCAAATCAACAAGGCTCTCTTTGCTGTGTTTGAGACACTAAAAAAAAAAACAAACAAACAAAGTAATGTCATGAGACATACCTCCATCTCATACAACAATTAAGACCTCTGATGAAAGGTAACACTAAAAAATTCACCTTTAGAAAGCCTCTACAGCAGCCAATTTAATTATCAAATCAGTAGATAAAACCAAATCAGGCTATCCCTTATAATTATAAATGGGCTTGATTTTCTATGCAACATCTAAATTGGTAGGTGCTGTTTTGAATTTTTTTGCATGCTTTGTTCAAGCTTTACAATGCTCAGATAGGACCATAAGGTGACGTATTTAAAAAAGTAGCACCCAAAATACTAGAAAATGAAATAGTAGTGAACAATATATCATTTGTATATTTCCCCTCGCCCCACCATGGCTTGGAATTGTACTAACCTGATTCACAAAACACCTGAACATATAAGTCAAACCAATCTTGATAATAGTGAAAATACAGTGATTTGCACATTAAAAACAGAAGTACTCACCTAAATGTAACTGGAGAAAGCAAAGACATCAGTCCAAATGCTGTGAGACTTTGCATGTAGAACATAAATCCATTCAACAGAAACATAAAAATCAAATGTCTATCCTCTGTCCACTTAATTTCACCAGGCCACTCCTACAAGAGATGAAAGATCAAAATGGAAATAATTAATGTGTCCAACATAATGTGCACCTTTGATTTGTGGTGGGTTGGGGGGGGAAGTGCCATTTTCAAGCCATTCCCTTTTAAGATCAATAACATTTTCTTTATAATGGAACAGGTGACAAAATCAGCAGAGGTACAAATGATTAGTGATAAATTTAGATATGGGAGAATAAAGAGTTGATCATTATGAGTTCCTTGAATGAAGCACTCTAGATGCCATGGGTGAAAAATTACAAGATTGTACATTCTCAAGTAAAGCTTAAACTCTTACAGTACTGTTGTAGAAAATAAAGCTGAAAAAACAAAATTCAGGCTTCAGTGAGACTCAAACCCATGCAATATAAATACTAACTGTCAAAGCCCAAATTTTTTTAGGCTTTTTTCTACAATTGCTCAAATTTTAGTTGACTTGTGAGGAGCATTGCTTTGCTTAATTTTTGGCTGCAGGCCAAATGAATTATTGTTGGAACCGAGCTTACCCAGGCAATATGAATGGCCAACCTAGTGACTTTACTCCTGATCCATTTCATGAAATTTACATTATGTTCTTTTTAACATGAACACTCAAATAAAGTGACCAGTCAGCTTGAAACAGTTATCAATGATGTACAGATTATAGGATCTTTGCCAAAAGTAAAATTTTGCACATGTGACTGTGACCTGTTCTTTGTTGTTTGCTTGTTTGTTTTGCTCATAGTTACATTCTAAATCTTCATGCAAATATATTTTATCTACAACTTAAATTTATCATGATTACCTCATTTTGACACAGTAATTCTGAATCATTAATTGCATAGACTATTGCAAGGAAAATTGTTGTCAGTGGTTCCTAAAAATCCACAAAACAGGCATTGTTGACTAAGATCCTGTAATATAGTATAAAAGGAAACTCCTAAATTTTACCAGGAAAAACCAGAAAGGTAGTTGAACAGCAATTGCAGCAGCACTGGTATAAAACTGAAGTTCTGGTGGACTAAAAGAACAAATGAAACTTTGTTAATAGCATGAAAGATGAAATTAATGGACATGGTCTAAACTGGCTGATGTTTTTGGTGGTGCAACTGTGAGTGACTGGTGGGGGAAAGGAGGTAGGTTAGTGTCTTTGGCCCCCCTAGATCTGCTCCTGAAATACTTGGTTGGTGAAAACTTTTATTTATAGAAAAAAAGTCACTTGAAACATTTGGCTTACCTGTAGGGATGATCACTACTTAGAAGCTTCTTGGAAAACACATTCTGAAAACTATCAAGTAAAGGAGAAAAACAATTTAAACTTATTGACAAGAAAAAAAACCAGATTTACAAAATTCTAGAATTCTCAGTATTCATCAAATAATATTTAAATTTAAAATGATCATCATAGTCTGTTTAAAAGTCTTCTTGAGTTTAAACCCTGTAAAAGTTAAATAGGAAAGGAAAGGAAAGTCTTAAGCACTCTAAACAACAAACGTGTCTAGTTACAATGATAAGGTTGAGATCGGATGTCAGCATTATCAGGCGCCTCTGGTAGCCACTTCAGTCCATGTAACGATCTCACCTTCCCGCCCATCCCACCCAGGGGAGGACATCCACCACACAGTAATCTTGTGTATGGGAAATTAACGTCTCCTACCCCTAACCCTGCAGGAGACTGGGTCTAGGGTTTATTCATCCTTATCAGAGAAGACTAGAATATCTATCCATCTCTTGATGTTATAGAAAGGTAGTAAATTCTCCTCAGTTATTTTAAGACCATGAGTATTGGTCCGGCCGGGGCTCGAACCCTCGACCTCCTGCACAACACAATCCGGCGCTCTAACCAATTGAGCTAACCCGGATAGTGACCAACTTGTGGCTATCTCATACATCCCAGGCAAAAAAAGTTTTCTTTTTTTAAACAGTGTTAAGTTAAGATGTACATGAACAAGATGGGAAGGAAAGAGCTGAGCACTACCTCATAGTAAAAAAATTAATGATTAAGATCAAAATTTGTTACTGCCAAGAGGTGGGTATGATCTAATGGCGTGCAATAACCACACAATAAAAATACCCTCAAAAGAATTGCATCCCTTCAAATAGTAAAAAAATGTATATATCTAACCCTAAATTTAAGCGAATCTGTGCAACTCACCAATCCATAACATTATTTAGAAGAGCAGAAATAAATCCAACCATATTGAAGCTAAGCTCAGTAGCAGTACAAAGTGATAGCCCAGCCATGATTGGAAGAAGAGAAAGATTAACAAATACACTTGATTTGTCACCTGAAAAAAAAAAGAAAAAAAATTATACAACAAAAATGAAAAAGAAGTTTGCAAGATTCTTTGATCATGACTTTCTCCTGTGAGACAACCATTAACATCTCTTGAAGATGTTTGTTCCTTAGGTGAAGATGGTGGCTAATCAAGGTAATTGACCTTCTTGCAATATGTAATTTACCAGATAATTTGCCACTCAAAGTCAAGATCATGCTAGTTTAAACACCTATAAAAGGTCTTGCTAGCCTAGCTATACTTGCTAGCCTGGTCTAAACCTAGACGATGAGAGCACAAAATCTCTCTGTGAAATTATTGACTGTCATCTTCAATTTTTAAAGCAGACGAAGGCTGGAAAGGGAAGGAAAGACATCCTCTCAACAGGGTAGATGATAAGCAAGCAAGAGGAAGTGAGGGGAATGAGCAAGAAAAGAAAACACTTGCTTTTTCTTTGGCATCCAAAGGTCTACTTACCTAACATAAACCAAGCTATAATTGCTGTGAAAATTGGTGCTGAAGATTTAATGGTTTCAGAGAAAGAAACAGCCACATACTTCAGAGTAATGAGAGAACACACTATTGTAGCAAACCTACAAAAGGGGAAAAAAGGCAGACAGGCTTTAAGACTTTTCATCTGATGCCCCCTCACTCTGGAGTTTGGATTCAATCACAAGTAAAGCATTTACCCCTTTAACCCCCATAAGTGGCCATGACACAATTTTTCCTTACAATATCAATACAAAATCCAGCAGATCATCAATCATCAGAATCGTATGGCAGTCAGTAATGAGAACTAATGAGTTCTTGAGAGTGAATGGGTGAAGAGGCAGTCCAAGTTAACCCTCTAACTCCCAGAAGTGTAACTTCTCCCTATAATATCCATACATTATATCCATATAATATCCCTACATCCATACATTATCATATCCATACGACTCCGTTCTGACCTTTAAATGTCAGAACGGTCTTGCGCCTCAATACTTAACGAGTAAGTTTACCAAGCGATCAAATATACATACTCGTAACACTCGTACACGGAACTCTTTCCAGATTCCGCTATACAGAACGGCTACTGGCCAGCGCACTTTTTCCTATAGAGGGGCCAACATATGGAATAACTTGCATAAAGAACTTAGGCAAAATGCCTCATTGGCATCTTTCAAGCGCGCTCTGCAAGACACACTATTGAGGCAGACATTTCCTTTATAAGCTCTAGAACTTGGTGGAATACTATCTTAAATTCTGACCATGAGTTTTATCGTTATTTATGTTTTTATAAATTGTAAAAAGTTTGTAAATAGTTTCTGAAAAACCTCACGAGGATGTTACTATTAAAGATGATGATTATGAAATAGTCCTTAAGCCAGAAAAGAAGGGCAGTCAAGAAATTCTTGTGAACAGTTATTTCTCCCCCACCTTG